GCCAATGAATACGTAAATAAGTGGAACGCGTAAATAAACATAAATCAATGTTTCTCAAATCAGTAAGTTAAAAAAAAGATGGGAGTATTACAAATGTTGAGACAGAGGAGGGGAAGATGTGGTGAAAGGCCCGCCAGGGAAACCGGCTCGGTGCCGGCTGGGTCAGGGAAGGCCCCCGCTGGTGCTCAGAGTGGGTTGTTACAAGTATTTGTCCAGCACTTATTAGACGCCAGGCACCGTCCTAGGCGCTGGGAACACGGGCACGTGGAGCCGACCAAGATCTCTGCCCCGGTGGGGATTAGATTCTAATGGGGAACAGGCAGCAAAGGTAGTAAGTAAAGTACCAGTGTAGGCGCTACCACGGACTCTAACATGCCCATGGCTTACAATCGACGACAACGTAGAGTCAATAAAACGTTAGAAAGCCTTGAGTCTATGAAAAAATAGCTTTAAACAACAACAACAACAAGAAAAATAGACCAGGGTAACCCTGACTGGTGTGGCTCAGTGGGTTGGATGTCGTCCTGCAACCCGAAAGAAAGGTCTTCGGTTCAATTCAGGACAGGACACATGCCTGGGTTGCAAGCCAGGTCCCCAGCTGGGGGCCTGCAAGAAGCAACCAACGATGCTTCTCCTACTCTTTCTCCCTCCCTTTCCCCTCTCCCTATTAGTACCGAAATAAATAAATAAATAAATAAATCCTTTAAAAAGTAGACCAGAGTAAAGGAGAGCGGAAATATTCAGGAGGGAAAGCACTTAAGCAGGACAACCTGTGCGAAGGTCCGAGGCAGGGGCCTGTCTGGGCGGCTGAGGACTAGCAACGAGTCCGACGTGGCTAAATCGGAGTGAGCCAGGCCGAGAGGGAAGAGGTGACAACAGAGAGGGCGTGGGACCAAATCACGTGAGGGCTTTCAGTTCTTTTTTTAAATTAAGTTTTTATTTACTTAGTGATTTGAGAGGGAAGAAGGGATTGAGAGAGAGAGATGTTGAGAGGGAGAGGGAGGGAGGGAGAGGGAGGGAGAGAGGGAGAAAGATTTGTTGTTCCACTTATTTATGTATTCATTGGATGATCCTTGTATGTGCCCTGACTGGGGAAGGAACCCATAGCCTTGGCATTTGGGGACCATGCTCTAACCAACTGAGCTACGCCGGCCAGGGCAGGCCTTTCAATTCTGTAATGCCATTGGCACCTCTTATCTTTTGATCCAATTCATTTTTTCTCTTTTCTTCACCTTCTCTCATGTCCTCTCTTACTTCTTCTTTTTCTTTCTTTTTTTATAAAGATTTTATTTTCTTATTTTCAGAGAGGGGAAGGGAGGGGAGAGAGAGAGGGAGAGAAACATCACTGTGTGGTTGCCTCTCACACACCCACTCCTAGGGACCTGGCCTGCAACCCAGGCCTGTGCCCCGACTGGGAATCTGAAGAGGCAGGTGACCCTTTGGTTCGCAGGCCGGCACTCAATTCACTGAGCCACACGAGCCAGGGCCTCTCTTCCTTCTTCAGAAGCATAGATTCTGTGGTCGACCACCGTAACCCTGTCCTTCTGCACATAACGTTAACTCCCTTGCTCTTTCTCCCTCGGTCGCTGGTGAAAATGAACCTCTGCCTTCGCTGTGCCTGTTCTCACCCAGCAGAGCTTGTGAGGGGAAGCACTTCCGATGTGGGACTGCGAAAATCAAGTGGACACTCGGAACCAATCCACAGTTTTCTTCTCCAGTCTCTCAGAAATCATTTTTTAAATAAATTGTATTTATTTATTTATTTTCAGAGAGAGGGTAAGGGAGGGAGAAAAAGAGGGAGAGAGACATCGAAGTGCAAGAGATACATCAATCGGCTGCCTCTCGAACGTGCCCCCGGGACTGAACCCGCAACCCAGGCATGTGCCCTGACTGGGAAGGGAACTGGTGATCTTTCGGTTCTGGGACAACTCCCAAACCACTGAGACACACTGATTAGGGCTCTAAGAATCATTTTTTATATGTGGAATCTAATGAACAAACTCAAAACAAGCAAAACAGAGACAGACTCATAGATGGAGAGCAGATGACAGCTGGGGGCGGGCCAGGGGGCGGAGGGATTTAGCACAAGCGGAAAAGGACCCAGGGACACGGACAACAGTGAGGTGACTGCTGGAGACGGTGTGTGAGGGCACTAAATGGCCGTGGAAAAAATACAATGAAGATTGAACTTAAAAAAACACTGAAAAAATAAAGACTAAAATAAAATAAATTTTTAAACAGTTGTTTTTTCACTTTCTCTCTCTGAACCTCTAGCATGCCTTCCCCTTTTCACTCTCACTTCTTCTTTTGCTGAAAGAAACAGAAACTATCAGAAGGAAGCTCGTCTGTGCTTACCCCAGGGACACTCCGGCCCATCTGCAGAGGGACCCAGGCACTGCTGCCCCTCCCAAGGCCATGCCTGGACAAGCCATCAGAGGCCAACCCCTCCAGTCAGGCGTGGACTCCCTTCTCCTCTCCCTACTCAAAACTTCCCATCGTGCAATATTTCCTCCCTCTCTTGCACCATTGTTTGTGCAACCCTTGGGCCTCTGTTCCTTTAGGACTTCCCCGAATATCCACCCTTCCCCGTGGTACTGCTGAGGAAACCTCCTAAAACTTGGGGATCTTAGACCTACCCTTCTGCCTGGGACTCCCCCTGCCCTTGGAACTCCATCCTTGAAGATCCCTTTCCTCCAGGGCCCACCTAAGAGACTTACCTGCTACATCATCCTGAACAAAAACCCAAGTTCAAGAGTTGGGGCCCCAACCATCTTGGAAGCAGACCCTCCAGCCTTAGCGACACCCTCCGATGATGACAACCTCATGATATCTGTCTGCAACCCTGTGGCCAAGGTGTTTCCAAATTTCTAACTCAGAGCTCACAAAAGATAATAAATGATTATTCCTGTCTTACACGCCTTGGTTTTGGGGTGATTTGTTACTCAGCATTAGCTGACTAGTACATCCTCCCAAGTCTACTTTTCTCTAGGCCTTTCCAATTCTTGTAAATGGGAGTAGCATTTACAGAGCTGAAATAACGTAAGCACTTGATTGTTTTTCTGGCAGTCATCTCTATGGTTATTTTAAAATCTTTTCCTGAAGTAAGGCTTACATAAAGTAAAATGTGAAATCTTAAATGTACAGCTCGATGAATTTTTACAATGTATGCACCCATGGAACCATGACTCAGAGTGACTCTGAAGACTCCCTTGTGCCCCTTCCTAGTCGATACCCTTCCTGAAGGACCACTACTGTTCCAGATTCTACAACTATAGATCCGTTTTGTTTGCTCTTGAACTTACAATGAATGGAATCAGACAGTGTTTTACTCTGTTTGGGCTGCTATAACAAAATACCATAAAACAAAACAAAACAAAAAACCCCACAAAACATCTTAGACTTATGACATACAATAAACTGGACACCAAAGAATTCATGTGATTCATTTTATGTGACATTCAAGAACAAGCAAAACTAACCTGTGGCCATAGACATCAGAGTGTTAGTCACCTTTGGGGGACACTGGGAGACAGTGACAGAGAACCTTCTGGGGAGCTGGAAATGTTTTATATCTATTCTGGACGGTGGTTACTAATGTATACACATACAAATCCATTAAGCTGATCATATGAATGCTCAGGTGTTAACGAGTGAAGAATGTGATGTTAGCAACTTACTTGAAATATATGTAATGAAAACAGATGGGTTGCTTGATGGATGGAGGGACAGACAACCGAACAGATGTGTAATGAAGAAAATCCAGCACAATGTGTTAATTGCAGAGTCTAGGTGGTGAGTAATGGGGTTCAGGGTAGAATTCTTCCAACTTTGTTATACGCTTGAGAAAAGTATGAAACCACACTGTTGTGCACTTAAGACTTACACATTTTACTACATGGAAGTTATGTGTTATTTTTTTTAGAAGCCCAAGGTATATGGTTAAATGAAAAAAAAAAAAAGCTGCTGATCAATGTCTTGTCTTAAATAAAAGTGCCTGCTGATATTGATATGAAAATCTAAGCCAGAAAACCAAAAGGATTGAACAAATTTTCTCACAAATGCTTGTGGACCCTGGATCAGCGGGTTTGTTGAAGAATGCAGATTCTTGGGCTTGATCTCAGGCCTTTGGAATCAGAATCTCTGAGAGTCGTGCCCAGGAATCTGCATTTTAACCAGGTTTTCTGATGCCCGTTAATTTTTGAGAAGCTTCCTCGGGGAATAAAGGGAGCAGGCTTGGCAACAGAATCACGGAGGATTATTTTTATGCTTTTTCTTTATTTTAAATTTTTATTTATCAATTTTACAGGAAGGGGAGGGGAGAGAGATGGATTTGTTGTTCCACTTATTTATGCATCATCGGTTGATTTTTGTATGTGCCCTGACAGGGGATCAAACCTGCAACCTTGGCTCATGGAGCCGATTATCTAGCCAACTGAGCTCCCCACCCAGAGCTGTGCTATTTCCGTGGTGGTGGGGCTATGGGCGATTTTTATTTGCGGTTCAGTGTTTTCCCAAAAAAAAAAAAAAAACACGGAGTGGGGGCCCTGACATTCTCCAGGTGCCACTTAATACCGGAAGGAGGGCGTGTAGCCTGGCGCGCTCTCCCTCCCCGCAGCCCTTGCACCAACCCGCCCATCCCTTCACTCAAGAAACTCTTGTGGTTAATGAGTCCGAGAAAAAAGGAAGTGGAAGTTATAAGTAAAAGCGACACAGGCTGAAACATGGGGGCTTGGGGCGCAGGAGACCCCCGCCATCGCCAGCGCTGAGGTTGGGAGTGGAGCGCGACAGTGACACGGGGTAATACTTCTGCAACGCTCTAAAATACTCCGCGCATCCGCTCAAAAATACCACTCGCTTCCGCCAGTGTCACACACCAAAAGAGTTCAGGTCGCGGTCCCCTTAGAGACACGGAGGTAGGCGGTGAACAGGGCGGCGCCTCGGGGGGCGGGCAGGGGTGGGGGCGGGGGGCGGATAGAAAACGGAGCTGCAGGACGCCTGGGTCCTCACCCGGGTGCCTAGAGATGTCTCCGCCACCTCTGCTGCTGCTGCTGCTGCTGCCGCCGCCGCTGCTGTTGACCGTGCAGACCGCCGGGGCCACGCTGATCCGGTACTGGGGACCCCCACCCCCCTAGTCTGGGACCCACTCTCCCCTTCTTGCCCTTCCAGTCCGGGGCTCCCAGCTCATTGACTGTCCACCCTGGCGCCCCAGGACCCATGGCTGCTATCTCTTCGCTTTGGGGACTCCAAACTGGGTCCTCAGCCCTGAGGTCACCCTGCTAACTTCTAGACCGCAGCCCTTTTAGTCGAAGATCCTCCAGCCCCCAAACCCTTGATTGGGGACCACTCCCCCTCCTCTCCCTATATGATTGGGAGGACCCAGGGGGCCCCCGCCTGAGCTCTGATGATCTGGTACTGGGGTCTCCAGACATGGGACATTCCAACAGATCTTGGAGACTCAGGTCTGTGACATATAAACTGAGGCTCCCCCAGATGCGCATCTTCCAAACTGTTTAGGTCTCAGTCAGCCCAGCTTTGGGGACGCACCCCAGGGCCGCTCCCCTCACCTGGCCCGTGCCTCCCCCAACCTCTGCCTTCCTGTCCTCTCCTCTCTGGATGGGCTGGAACTCTGAAGATGGGGGAAGGGGGCACAGTCTTCCAGGAATGGTCGTCCCCACTTCACATTCCTGAGCCTCTCAAAGACGAGTGGTGGAGGGGAGGGGGCAGAGCTGAGAGTGGGAGTCAGGGCTCCAAAGAGTGACTGCAGACAGGTTAAAAACTATCGCTGCACATGAGGTTTGCTGACCTGCGTGCGTAACCTAAAATACCGTGGCGGTTATTTCCCAGGTCTGCAAAAAGCCCCTCAGGAGTTACAGCAATGCAGGGCCCCAGGAACTCCTTCGAAGTGCAAATTTGCCCTGGCTGGTGTGGCTCAGTGGATTGAGTGGCAGCCTACAAACCTAAAGGTCACTGGTTCCATTTCCTGTCAGAGCACATGGCTGGGTTGCGGGCAAGAGGTAGTCAATGTTTCTCTCCCTCTCTTTCTCCCTTCCTCCCCTCTTTCTAAAAGTAAAATCTTAAAAACAAAAAGAAAGGCAAATTCTCAGGCCTCAGATCTATCCATCAGAAACTAAGCTAAATCCAGCCTGCCACCTGTTTTTCTTCTTATCTAATTTTTAAAATTTATTGATTTTCAGAGAGGAAATGAGAGCGATTTGTTATTCTACTTATTTATGCATTCATTAGTTGATTCTGCTATGTGCCCTGACTAGGGATTGAACCCACAACCTTGGTGTATTGGCAGGACGCTCTAACGCACTGACCTACCTGGCCAGGGCCAGCCTGGCACCTGTTTTTGCAATTCTTGGACATGTTTTCTAGGGCTGCTTTCATGCTCTGCTGACAGGATTGAGGGGCAGCAACAGAGGCAGCCGGCCTGGGAAGCCTTTAGAAATCAGCCTGCCATCCCCCAACCCCTGCTCTGAGTGATTCCACTTTACGCCCCCGTTTCAGAACCACTGACGTAGAGCTTTCTCCTTTTTAGCGTTTGCTTGGCTTCCATTTTATACATGCTCCCTAGCAGGGCAGAGCTGTACTCAGTGGTGGTTTCCAGTTCTCAAAATTAGACACATCCTCATAGGACGTCTTTGCATACTTGTCCCATGATCTCGTGTAGATGAAATCTCTAGAACTGAAATTGAGTTGGAATACAAGGTGTGTTAACTTTAAGGACCATGATGTGTTACCAAGCCACACTCCAGAAAGTTTGTATCCATCTACACCCCTTAGCCAACAGTGAATATTTGTAGTTCTTTGCCGATCTGCATAGAGAGAAGGGGTTTCTCATGCTTGTCCTTTTTTTGGAGGGGGGGGGTTAATGACTATTGGGGTTGAACAGCTTTCTGTGTATTACAAGCTGTTTATACTTCTTTTGCAAATTACCTGCTTATGGCCTTTGCCTGTTTCCCTACTGAATGTCAAGAACTGTGAAGGGAGCTTGTTATAGCTTCATGGCTGCCTGTAGAAGACAGAAGACTCCCAAGTCATAGACAAAAGACAGTTCGTTACTCCCAATAGCAGCAGTACCCAGAACATCAGTGTTTGTGCCAGATTTTTGAGCCCCAGTATCCACAGGGTGAAGTGAAGAGAGCCAAGTGATAGCTGCATATGCATTACAGGAGAGGAACCCTAGGATTAGGGAGCTTTTCTTTTTAAATTTTATTTATTCATTTCTAGACAGAGGGGTAGGGATGGAGAAAGACAGGGCGAGAAACATTGATTGGTTGTCTCTTGCACACCTCCAACTGGGGACATGGTCCACAATGCAGACATGGGCCCTGACTAGGAATCGAACAAGCGACCTTTTGGTTTGCAGTCTGGCATGCAACCCACTGAGCCACACCAGCCAGGGTAATGAATTTTTTATAATGGATCATAAACCTACCTCCCCTTTGGACAGGGTGCTGAGGGGTGGGGAGGACTCTCTCCTTCAAGCCTCTTCACTGAACAAAAACCGAGACAAGCCAGTCTGCGCAAAGGCAGTCCTTGCCTCTGCAAAAATGGGAGACTGCCTCCCAACACCGGATTGTCTTATTGCTTTGTAGCAGCTCTTCTCATATAAGATATTAACTCTTTGACATATAGCTTGTTATTATTTCCCCTAGATTTTTTTTTTTTTTTGTCCTTTACCCTTATTGACAGTGTTCTGTGTTGGGGGGAAGGAGCACAGAGGTTTACAATCTGAGTTACACTCATCAATATTCCCAACGTTTCTGACCTCGGTATCGCGCTTAGGAAAGCCGTCCTCTTCCCAGGGTTAGTTCAACATCTTCCGTCCTTCCAGTGCTCTGACAATTTTACATTTCCCATTAGTCTCTGATATATCTGGACTGTATTTTAGTGTATGAAATTAGGACTTGGTGATTCTATTTCATCCCCATGATGGGGAATATAGTCTCCAACTTCACGAACTAAAGCTTTTTGCAAAGGCTACCTTTATGTGAGGGTCTTTGGAAAACTGCAAGTACCCGTTCCCTGGGCTATTTGGAAGGTCTCTTCCTGAAAGCTTTCGGGGAAGGTCTGTCTCAGTTGGTTTGCTCCTGTAGAGTCTTGGGGAAATTTGTCACCATGGTCTGGTAGGTGTTTGTGGGGCTTCCTGGAAGGCCGTCATTTAAGGCTTCTCGTAACGACTGGTCCTGCATGTAGGGCCACGAGGATGTTTGCTTTGTCATGATGTTCTCTTTGGGAAAGACTGTGATAGAGGGTCCAGAGGAAGGTGGCCCTGAGCTGTCAGTATTCTCTTCTCCACAGGATCCCGCTTCGCCGAGAGGTCTACACGGGAAGCAGGACCCTGAACCCACTGAGGAGATGGGGGAACCCAAAAGAGCCGCTCAGGTTGGGGACCCCATCCCCTGGGGGCAATTCCACCTTTGTGCCTATCTCCAACTTCATGAACGTGAGTGACAGCCCCACAAAGCCCCCGTCCTCTGGCCCTTAAATTAAGCTCTTCATTCACTCTCTCCTTTTTTTGATATCAGGCCCAGTATTATGGGACAATTGGGCTGGGGACACCCCCTCAAAACTTCTCTGTCGTCTTTGACACTGGCTCCTCCAATCTCTGGGTCCCGTCCAAGAGATGCCTCTTCTTCAGTCCGCCCTGCTGTGAGCTTTCATGGGGACAGTAAGGCCGTGAGGGGCTGAAGGGGGAGGGTGGCTAGACCTTAGCTTCCCAAGCGACTCTGAGGTGCCCAAGGGAGACTCTGCTCCCCCAGTGACAGCTCCCTGACCTTCTGACCTAGGGTTCCACCATCGCTTCGACTCCAAAGCCTCCAGCACCTTCAAGCCCAATGGGACGAGGTTTGCCATTCAATATGGAACTGGGCGGCTCAGCGGCATCCTGAGCGAGGACAAGCTGACTGTGGGTGACCTCTGACCCAGGAAGGCTAACCCCTGGGAGAACCCCAATGTCTCAAATGATCTGGCTTAGGAAGGGGCTTGAGGAGGCTGAGCGCCCTGGGCCAATGGGCAGAGCTTCCCATGCGTGGAGGCGGGTTTCCTGGGGAAGGGGGCTGGCATCCCTAATGGAGAGGGGACGCTTCCTAGGCAGTGGGAGCTGTTTCCAGATGTCTCCAGTCCTGGGATTCAGGCCTTGGTTGGGGACCTCTCAATGACATGTAGGAACTGTCCTACCAGAAGTAACTGACCCCGTTTGAATCTTCCCATAGATTGGAGGAATCAAGGGCGCATCAGTGATTTTTGGGGAGGCTTTGTGGGAGCCCAGCCTGGTCTTCACGTTTGCCGTCCCTGATGGGATACTGGGCCTCGGCTTCCCCATTCTGGCGGTGGATGGAGTTCGGCCCCCACTGGATGCTCTGGTGGACCAAGGTCTACTGGATAAGCCTGTCTTCTCCTTCTACCTCAACAGGTAGTGGGGGATGGTCTGCCTTCCCCTGACTCCTAGCCCCAAGGAGGAAGCTCTGCCAGCCTTCAGGAAGTCCCACCCTCCATTCAGGAAGTCATCAAGCGCCTCTCTATTTAGGAAATCACCCACCCAACACAGGAAGTTCACCTACCCAATATAAGAAACACCTGAACCCTATTATAAGTCCCTCTCACTAAACAACACCTTCGGGTATACTAAAGAAGCTCACCACCATCAGTTTAAAAATTCTGTTTCCAACTCAGATCAGGGAATTCCATGCTGTACCCCATCAAATGCTCATCAAGAATCCCTCTTTGCTATAAAGAAAGCCCAAGTTCCACTTGAGAAAACACCAGAAGTCGGGAGTTGCCCATTTTAATCCAAGATCCACTCACCTTTTAGGAAGCTCAGCTTTAGGTTCGGCAAGTCCCACCGCCACCCCTCCTGAGGCCCATGCCCCACAGGCAGGAAGTCAGTGCCCATTCAGTTCTTCTGGTGTCCAGCCTACTCAGGAAGCCCCACCCACCTCATAGTAGATCCCCCCTATTCCCACCACTCTCAGCGAAGCCACGAAGCCTGTGGCCTCTGAACTGCAAGACATGCACTTCAAAAAGTCTCCCCATCCACTGGGAGGCCGCCCCCACTCCTACACAATCACACCTTCCAGAGCCAAGTCAGAAACCCCAGTGCTCCACCTAAACTTCTCCCCAGAAGGAACATCTGAGATCTTGCTCTCTGGCCTACTCATCAGTTTTGGCTCAAGTGAACTCTTTAAAAATTTACCCACCAAAGTCCTACCTTCCACAGCCAAACGAGGAAGTCCCACTCCCACAAGCCCCCCAAACCATAAAACCCTAATCTCCACCAAGAAAAGCTGCATTTCTTTGCGCTTCTTGCCTCGCTTCCAGTCCCAACACCTAGGCCCTGCCTGCATCTCACTGCCCCATCGAGAAACCGACCCATGGGTAGGAAGCCTCTTCCTTGGCCACTCCCAGAGCTGAGAGGACAAACTCTGGTGACACTGACAGCATTCTATCTCTGCAGGGACCCTGCCGTGGTTGATGGAGGAGAGCTCGTCCTGGGTGGCTCGGACCCAGCACACTACATCCCGCCCCTCACCTACGTGCCAGTCACGGTCCCTGCCTATTGGCAGATCCACATGGAGCGGTGAGGGACCTGGACGCCTAGGTCGGCAGGAGTGGGCCGGAGACTTATGTCCAGTGTCCTGGCCGGAAGGGCACTGGGGGCCTAAGCTCCTGGGTCTCAGGGAGGAGGGGCTGGGGACCTGGACTCCTAGGACACTGCTTCTAACGACTGCTCCCTTCTAAATCAGTGTGAAGGTGGGCACAGGACTGACTCTCTGTGCCCAGGGCTGTGCTGCCATTCTGGACACAGGCACATCTCTCATCACGGGACCCACCGAGGAGATCCGGGCCCTGCATAAAGCCGTCGGGGGATTTCCCTTATTGGCAGGGGAGGTGAGGACCGTGTCTGGTGGGGATACGCTGCGGAGGCTGATGGGGATTTAATGGCAGAACCTGGGCAGGATGCTGGGGTCCGAGGGTGGGAACTGGGTGGCCAGGAGGTATTCTAGGGCAGAAGGCACTGGACCTTGTGAGCAGCTCGGGGAAGTGGGAGGAAGCAAGGACACCCCCCAAGTGTCTACACTGAGTGACACAGTGGATGGGAGGAGATGACGACGCAGGGTCCTTCCGGGTCTGAATTTCTGTGACTCCATTGCTGTGCTCTTTAGCGCCCCTCAGAAAGTGGAGTAAACTCCGTTCCTGGGCTTCTAAGTCAAATGCCCAAGACGTATGTAAGTAGGCCTGTAATGAGCCACAGGAACCAGGCAGATCAGTGGTTATGGCCGTGGGTTGCCAGGTTGGAATCCAGCTCTGCCATTTACTGGCTGGCTATGTCGGACAAGGCACTTAACATTCCTTGGCCTCAGTTTCCTAATCTCTAAAACAGGGTTACTAATACTCGCCTCTTAGGTGGGTTGTGAGGGTTGCAGCCATTATCCATTTAAGGTGCTTCAACGATGCTTTGATGCCGTTACCACCTTCCCTGTCCAGAGTGTTGTACACTCTCTAACGCAACCCTGTTCTCACCACTCCTTGCCTTCCCAACAAGGTCATGACTATTGGTTTTCAGGAAGATAAACTTCCTGGGTTATTAATAGCGGCCTTCCACTGTATCGCTAGGACCTTGGGAGTGGTGGGGATTGAGGTAACCTGGAGAGCACACACCCCATCAGTCTTAAAAGGCAGCTTTCAGCTACTCAGCTCCAGGCAACTATAGCTTCTTGTGCAGACAGGCAGATCTTCTGGTGTGTTGGATGAAACTGAAAAGATTATTTGAAAGCCATTTGTCTGTAAATAATAACAGCACCTACTATGTGTCAGCCCTTTCCCCACGCTAACACATTTCTTTCTCACACAACATCCCTATGAAGTATTATCATCTACTTTTTCAGACAGGAAACTGAGGCAGAGAGAGGTTAAGTAACTCGTATAAGGCTGCACAGCAGCAGACGCCACAGGATACAACCTATACCACCATGGCACATAGCTGGTAATGAATTTTAAAAACTTTAGACTCAGTGTGAGACAAATTATACTCCCCAAAACGAGCCACCAGTTTTTGATCTACAATTAGAGGAAATGGTCTGATCAAATGGGAGCCAAAGGGAAGTGGCGACAATTATACAGGGTGAAAGGCGAGATGTGAGGGCTAGAGAGGGCAGCAGGGCCAGACACACAAGGCTCTGACCACTAGCTACCCGGTGAGGTATGGCACTGGGGAGCCGCACAAAGAATTGGAGCAGAGCGGGAGTCCCTCACGTCCACTCCTTTCTCTTCTCCCTCAGCACTGGATCCCGTGCTCGAAAATCTCAACGCTCCCTCCCATCTTCTTTAACCTTGGGGGGGTGTGGTTTAACCTCACGGCCCAGGACTACGTCGTCCAGGTAAGCAGCTCTCATAAAGACGTCAGAGTGGCGCGGTAAGTGGGGCTGGGAGTGAGAACTCAGACTCACAAGGACCGAGCAGAGGCCACAGAAACAATTTTTGTGCCCGGGGTTGTGGGCTGGGCGAAGCTTTGGCTCCAGGGAAGAAGCGAACTTCGTGGGCGTGACACCCAGTGGCCCGGCTTGTCACCTTGCAGATGACTCTGGGTGGCGTCCGCTTCTGCTTGTCTGGCTTCGAGGGTCTGGATATACCTCCGCCTGAAGGGCCCTTCTGGATCCTCGGCGATGTCTTCCTGCGGAACTATGTGGCGGTCTTCGACCGCGGGAACCTGAAAGAAGGTGCCCGAGTGGGTCTGGCGCGCGCTCGTCCTCCTGCTGTCGGACAGCGACGGGTGGATCCGCGCAGACGCAGTTCTCCGTTTGAAGCCGTGGTTAGACGCATGCGCACCGGATGATAGTCGAGGCCCCGCTACTCAGTAAAAATTCGCGATTTCCATTGAACCTACCTGAGTAGATTCTCTTTTCTTTTTACATGGGTTGTTTTTGGAGAGAAAAACTAGTGTCCGGATCTCTGTAGTTAAGGAAAAGGATAATGGTATCTCTCCTTCAGGGCTCACACTGGTGTGGGTGTCCTATACTACGAATCCCATGAAGCCCTACTCCGCACTGCCTCTCGTCAAAGGCACCCGGCCCGCGGAGCATCACGGACATTGTAGTCCACGTCGTGTTCACGGCAGGCTGGTGGCGGGCACAGACCCAAGGTGGGAGGCGACAGGTCGCGACAGCAGCGACAGGTGGCAGTGGCGGTTGGCTGAAATCGTAAAGGGTTTTCCAATTCTCGTTCTAACGGGAGGTGATATCATCCCCGCAGACCTCATCTCCTGTCCCTCCATTCTCTTCTCGGGTCCGGGACACTTGGGTCCGTCATAAAGGCGGGGCTTGAAGCCCCCGGGTTGGGGGGAGCGGTGCTGCCCCTCCTCCGGCGATGATGTCACTCCCCCTTCCGCAGCCTTTTGCTGCCCAGAGCTGGGCCACCCCTCCCCCCTTCGCCAGCCCGGGATTTTCCCCATCCCCGCCCCGCTTCGACTAGGGGTGAGTACAGGGTAGGGGTAGAAGTGTCAGGGGACCGCAGCGGAAAGACAGCCTAAATCCCAGTTGTGGGGGCGGGGGACTCAGGAGATGGGGACTCAAAGATTACAGTGGAGAGCTTCCCCCCTCACTAACGATCTTTGGGGGCCAAGGTGTTTGGAGAGCCTCGGGGGACCGAGATAGTGAGCAGAATTCCCACATTTTGAGCTTTAGTGTCCGCGAGACACTCTTTCCTGAATTTGGAACTGACAGGAGTGGTGCGGAGGAAGAAGATCCTAGAAGTCAGGAAGGGAAAGGTCCCCAGTTCTAGGGCCTTGGGGAATGGGGGAGTGAGAGTTCGGATGGGGCGCTGAGGATGACAGAGGTGGGAATGAGGAGCTTTCAGGAATTTTGTGCCTCGAATACATGGGAAGGGATAGATTGGGAAGGAGAAGGGGTGGGGACATGATTTAAAGAAGTGGACACTGGCCTCCACGCTCCCGGTATCAGTCGCCAAAAATCGAGTCCACTTGCCCTGGTCTGTCTGCTGGGCAGGGTGTCCCATAACCTTAGCCCTCATTATGTCTCCAGAAGCGCCCCCCCCCCCCCGCCCCTGCATGGGTGTAGAACCCAGGCCCACAGTCCTCCACATACCCTGGTGGGACCTGGGGACAGCCATGAGGGAGTGATGGCATCCCACTTTCCAGGGCCTGATGGAGTCTGGACCATCCTATTACTCCCTGCTGCCACCTCCTTCCACCTCCCATGGTCCCTCATCCAGGGTCTCATTCCATACTCTGTCCTAACCAGCCCCCCCTCAGCCACCCCGCCCGCCCGCACTTTCTCCCACACCTGACCTTTGCAAAAAACCGCTGATTTGGTAACTTGATCCCGTGCCTGGCTGCTGTCAAAAGCAGAAAAGTAGAGTTGGGTGGGGGGTGGGGCGGCCGGTGAGGATAAGTGTAGATGGCTGACTAAGGTCCTTACCCTAGCCCCTACCCCCAGCCCCTAGTGTCTACCCAATCCCTGCTCCAGCCTCCACCCCCCACCCCTGACCTGCCCAGAGCCTTATTCAACCCAAGCCCTCACCTCAGGATTCACTGCTTTTGCCTGGGGATACACCCGACTTCGGGACAGAGAGGAGTAGGAATCCCTGATGTCTTCTTTCTGTCCTCCTTGGTCCTGTCGGGGGCTTGAGGACTACCGGAGGATCCTGAATCAGGGACAGTGGGGAGCCCAGGGTCTGAGGGGTGACAGAAACTGCCTCTCTGGTCTGCAGGACAACTCTGCAGTGACGCAGCTTGGAGACCTGGCCAGGACGGGGGTCAGAAGGGAGAATGTGGGCATGTGGGCAGGAGGTAGAGCCTGAGAGAAATGGACAGAGAACCAGCGATCCAGAAACAGTGGCAGAGACTGAAGGACAGCAGGACAGAGTCCCAAAAAAGTGTGAGCAGAGACCCAGAGAGAGGGAGACAGAGACTCAGAAGGAGGTGAAAAAGAGGGTGGCATAGAGACCCGTGGAAGGGACAGACAGAGAAGGGGCAGAAAGAAAAGGCGGGGGCCGGGGGGGCGGTGGAGAGACAGAGGAGGGAGAAAAGATACAGGAAGGGAGATCAGATCGCAAGAATGAGGGGAACAGACCCAGATGAATGGGCAGAGATCCAGAGTGGGAGAACAAAACCTGGGGGCAAGGGGAGGCAGTGTCGGACAGAGCCACGAAGAAGAGGGACAGAGATCTAGGGAGAGTGGGATCGAGGCCCAGAGAGAGACCAAGAGAAAGAAAGTGGGGGTAGCAGTATCGAGACACGGTGGGAGGAGAGGCTACTGAGGCTTAGAAGAGAGGCAAAGACTCAAGGAGGCAAACAAGTTCAGAGAACAATGGGACAGTGACCCAGAGAGGACTTAGAAAAGAGGGGCCAGAGTCTCAGAGGGGCGAGGGCAGAGACGGGAGGACAAATTCTCGGAGAAAGGGAATAAAAAGAGACACAGAAACGGGAGCAGGGGCGGGTGGGCAGGCAATACGAACCACACGCCGCCCTGCAGAGGGAGGCGGCGGGCCAGGGACCAAGCAGCGAAAGCCCGCAGCCCCTGACCCGCCCCCTCCGCTCCCACAGGCACCGCCCCCTCCCGCCGCAGCCCCAGCCGCAGCCGCTGGCCCCGCCCCAGCCTGGGCGCCTGCGCCCTGCCTCCTAGCTGCCAGGCCAGCCTAGGGGGCGGGGCCGGGCTCGCTTCCAGGCCCGAGCTTGCTCTGGCAGCGCCCCTCCACTAGCCCCGCCCCACTCTCCATCTCTCCCCTCTGACCCCCAGGAATCTTCCACTTTACCCCGCCCTGTTTCCCATTGGCCCCGCCCACTGCCTCGGCCGAGGCTGTGCTTCCGGGAGCGCTTTGGTTTCTCACCTGTTCCTTGCTCCTTCTTCATCGGACCTCATCCATCCTTTGTATCTTCTGTCTGCACTCGGCTATTTTCTAGACCTCGTCCCCTTTCCCACACCAGTTGGAAGTTCTCGTCCCAGCCTCTAAGTCCCATTGACTCTTAGGACTCTCTCCCAGGTTCTCTGGTTCTCAATACTCCCCGTTCCAGGTAGCCCCTCCCGCCCCCGTCCAGCCTGGTAGCTTTGTACTCTTTACAGGTCCCTTCTCATCCCTGTCTCCGTTCCTTACTCTCTCTTAGCCCTCCCCCTCCCCAGCTTAGCTTGGTTGCTTTCAAGGCACTTAAGGCTACTATCCTTCCTCAGTCTCGCCCTCCCACAGCCCATTCAAGACATTTTCTAGCACTTGTAGACCCCACCCACCTTTCTTAGTCCCGCCCCATCCACCCTGACACTAATTATCCCGGTAGACTCCCGTCTAATCAGACCAAACTTAAAGCTCTGGTCCCACCCCTTCTTTACGTTGCCCGGACCGGTATTCCTAGCCAGGCACTCTCATGTTTCCAGGCCTCGCTCATCTCCGCCCCTTCTCAGTGGGTCTCAGTCCCTGTAACCTTTCCCTTTTCCCCTTTCAGTCCAGCAGCCTAGTACCATTTTGCGTGACCATACTCGCCACTGTGCATTTCCAGCTCCCTCACTCGTTTAATCCCGCCCCCTCACACAGCCAGACCAATCAAGAAGTTTATTACTTTTCTCGACCCCGCCTCTTTTTAAGATCCGTCCTTCCCCGTCCGAGCGATATCGGGAGCCCAATCCCGCAGTCTCCATCCTCCCTTCCCCACAGTGTTCTGCTTATCCGCTCCTTAAATCCGGGCCCGCGATACTTCTCTGTCTACTCAGAGCGGTCTCCGCCGTTGCCGCCTCGCTCCGCCCTTCACGGCCTGTCCTGCCTCTTTAAATAGCTTGGACATGTCCCTTTTCTCTGTCCCGCCCCATCCTTTTTTTATTTTAATCGGATCTTTCTTATATCTAACCCCGCCCCCTCCATTTTTTTGTGCTGTCAAACCAGCCAATTTTAGAGGTGCATCCCTCCTCCTGTAACACCTCGCCCCGCCCGTGTTCTCGGAAATATCCAATCGTTGTGTTTTGTCTGCTGTCCCACCCCATTCTTCTTGGCCCGGTTAGATCCCGGCCCTCCTCCCTCTGCTTCAACTCCGCCCTACTACCTCAGGCCAATCACTTCGGCTAATCTCCTATGTAGGCCCCGCCCCCTCATCTATTGCTTTTTCTACCCAATCACGTCTGTCTCTACTCTGAGACCCCGCCCCTCAGGCCCCGCCCCACTGGCCCCGCCCCCCCGGCCAATGTTGAGCTCAGTCTGCGTCTCCTCCTTCCGCCGGCGCCAGGGGGCCAGCAAGCAGCAGCCCGCACAGCCGCCGCAGCCTCCCGACTCCCCGCCGCCGCCAGCGCCGCCGCTGCAGCAGCAGCAGCAGCCTGCGCAGCCCGGCCCTGCCGCGTCCCCGGCGGGCCCCCCGGCATCCCACGGGCCCGGGGACCGGCGCGCCGAGCCATGCCCCGGGCTGCCGGCGGCGGCCATGGGGCGGCACGGCGGCGGCGGTGGCGACAGCGGCAAGATCGTGATCAACGTGGGCGGCGTGCGCCATGAGACGTACCGCTCGACGCTGCGCACCCTGCCGGGGACGCGGCTGGCCGGTCTGACGGAGCCTGAGGCGGCGGCGCGCTTCGACTACGACCCTGGCACTGACGAGTTCTTCTTCGACCGGCACCCTGGCGTCTTCGCCTACGTGCTCAACTACTACCGCACGGGCAAGTTGCACTGCCCGGCCGACGTGTGCGGGCCGCTCTTCGAGGAGGAGCTCGGCTTCTGGGGCATCGACGAGACCGACGTGGAGGCCTGCTGCTGGATGACCTACCGGCAGCACCGCGATGCCGAGGAGGCGCTCGACTCCTTCGAAGCGCCCGACTCTGCGGGCGCCGCCAACGCTGCCAACGCCGGGGGCGCCCACGACGCGGGCCTGGACGACGAGGCGGGCGCGGGCGGCGGCGGCCTGGACGGCGCGGGCGGCGAGCTCAAGCGCCTCTGCTTCCAGGACGCGGGCGGCGGTGCCGGGGGGCCGCCAGGGGGCGCGGGCGGCGCGGGCGGCACGTGGTGGCGCCGCTGGCAGCCTCGCGTATGGGCGCTCTTCGAGGACCCCTACTCGTCACGGGCAGCCAGGGTGAGCGCGCTGTCGGAGTCCCCATCCCTCTCCCCTCCCCACCCACTCCCAGATCCTTCAGGAGCGCCCCACTCCAACCCTCAGAATCCCACAGCCGGTCCCAGCCCCTCCTGGCCTCTCCCG